GGGGGGCTGTTGCAAATGGAGGGAGACTGTTGAATTTCTCCCGACCCTCCCCTTTTATGAAGCAGAACTTTCTGACCGTCCCCCTTTTTGCCACTTACCCTCTTAAACTTACCTAAAGCGTGTGCATCAATTTTACAAGGGTTCCCTTTAATATTGCATGCGTAAAATGCATTGACCCTCCCCTTATTTGAAGCAGCTTCCCAACCCTGCAAATAATGGCCAGCCTTCAACGGAATTTATTGGTTTTTCCGTAAATTGAGAATGGTTAAATAGCAGATTGAGAGCATGTAAACACTAATTATTGTCACTAAAAAAAGATCTGTTGATAATATATTCGTTAATCCGAATTTAAAATATGGAAGATTTTAAGCAACCATAACTTTCTGAACAGCAAGAATGGATATTTTCATAGTTTGTTTGCAAAATTACAAATAATTAAAAGCTATTCTGTTGAATTTAAATTTGCAAATCATTTCTAGCAACAGCTAGTGGCTAAAACTTCTTCAATCAAAACCTTTCAAGTTATACTAAGAACTATGAACTATAACTGTAACTTGAACAACCAAATACAAAATTGGCTTTATTCTAACCAACAATAACTAATTTAACCGGAATAAAAAAAATTGTCGGAAATGAGACTAAAGAGTCTGCTATGTTCCGAAACTTTACGTTTTATTTTGTAAACCAACTTGATCTCCCTCTTCTTCACACCGTTCTCGTCTCACGCTCAGGTCTCTCTCACTTTAAATATATTATATGACCCTATTGTTCAATCATCTGTTACGTATCGAAAAAAATCAACCGGAAATCAATTAACGCTGAATAATCTCTCTAAAAATTCCATGCAGCCCACAGGCTGAGTACTATTAGAACTTTCTTTGTATCAGTTTAAAGTATGACTTTAAAAATAGTAAAACCAGCACTTTGAATCGTCTGGGCGAGTACTATTAGAACTTTTCCTTGCATCAAATTAAAATGTAACTCAAACTCCAAACAGCCACTTGAGTTTGAAGTTGAATAGTTAGCTTCAGCAAGCGATCCACATTTTGTTGAATGGTTAGCTTCAACCAGCGATCCACATTTTGTTGAATGGTTAGCTTCAACGAGCGATCCACATTGTGGATGTATGATTGCAAGCTTTTCTCTGCCTCAATAGGCAAATGTAACTCAGTGTACGAATTATTTACCTCAACGGGCAGAGATTTTAACTCGACGATCAAATTTAACGCCTCAACGGGCGAAGAATACTGTGGTTGATTTGCCTGTGGTACCGAAGTCGCTTTCAACATAAAGCAGGTTGGCTTCACACCTTCCTTCCTTTTCTCCCGAGACCAGCAAGCTGCAGTCGGCAGTTTACTCCGAATGGAAGCATTTTGCCTAATACTTTACTGCTGCTGAATGCACTGAGAAAAAATGATGTCTATGAGGTAGGACTTGATCAATATCTTGGCACCTCCATTCGCCGGCGAATCGGCAAAAATTGCAGATAATTGAGCAGCCAAACTCATAAAAATCTCCTGTCTTCCTTGAGAGTCATCACTAAACCGTTCAAGACCTTGATGAATACTTCCACAAGCAATTAAAGACATCTATTTTAAAAACTCACCTCTTTATCGTGTCCTTAATTTCTAGCAGAGCGGGACGGCTGTACACAGCTGTTCTTCGAAATCGATCGATATGTCCACGTGCATTTTTACGTGATGTCATCACAAGCACCCCGAATATAAAAAAACGCAATCGACTGCGCATGTCTCCGATCTTATATCCGACAAATTCTGGCTTTTTCTCGCTATTGTAAAGAATAGGCTGCTGCCTCGCTAAGGCTTGCTAGCAATAGGAATAATTTAAGATAAAATATACGGTGATCCAAATGAAAAGTAGACGATCCCGTATTTCCAAGAAAGGGAATTAAACCGTGGAAGTCCTCCCCAATTTTTCCGTAAAATAGAACAATGGGTCCGCCATCTTTCATAAGATGAATGCATTCTCCACACTTCTACGGCCAGGCGAACGGTAAGAAATTTGCATATGAAATCCGCACATAACTCGTCCCTATGCTTCGCATATCCACGAGTAAAACTGACAAACTGGAAAAAGTACGTGAGCATAGTCGCAGCTTGACTTACCCCTTTAAATGTGACGTTCACTATAAGTGCGTTGTCACAAACGCGTTAGATGCTATCTTCGTGACATGTTTCGCCAACAGGGTCTAAAAAACCTGGCCTTGCACGCATCACCAGCTTTTCTGATTATGTTCAGAGGTGTCCCTGACAATAACGACTTCCTCGTTTTCCAGGTTTTCAGAAGATCCCACCGACACAGGAAACCAAGGAATACCTCATGAAATATTTTCTGGATCGTCTGGACTACACAAGAGGAAAGCGATTCACTCCATATCACGACATTATTTTTATTCTTGACTCGTCCGAGTCCCTCTCCATGGAAAACTTTAATCTCAGTGTTGTAATAGCACAGAGGTTGGTGTCGAGGTTCGATCCTGACACACAATTTGCAGCAGTAGTATTTGGAGCCAATGCCACCATCAGCTTCAATTTTCATTTTGCCAGGGTAAGTTTTAGTTGTAATAACTTGTTGGGTAAGACAGAGTTTTACAAAGCAATGATTGATCCTTACTCATAAACTGGTATTGAAATGGAAGTAGGTAAAGACGAAAGATAAATGGCAGAAATGAGAACAAATGATAAATTTTCGGCATTTGATGAAATACATTTATTTATTAATTTAATCGCTTCGCCAACCGGCAGGGACACCGCAACAGCTTGCGCCAATTACTGCGGACCCAATAAACCCACCCATCCCACCCCAGGGGAGGACATCCATCACACAGTAATCTCGTGTGTGGGAAATTAACGTCTCCTACCCCAACCCTGCAGGAGACGGGACCTCCATTTATTCGTCCCTATCCGAGAAGACTAGAATATTACCATTTCT